GAAAAATATAATAAACGCATATATAATAGAATTAATAGATTGAAAGATCGTAATAAAAGGTGAAATTAAAAGGTCTTTGTTGTAATGAGTCGATAGCGAGATTAAGGATGATTTTTTGAAGATGAAAAAGATGATAGAAAATCGTGATTGCTTGGCCGTATTTATTGCTTTGTCCGTAAAATTCATAGAGGAGGATACCAAAATTCTGATCGAATCTGGTTCTTTGTCCACCACACCCTTAAGCTCACGAACGATGGCGGGTCCTGTAATATTATACATCAATAACATTAATATATAAAAAAAAAATTTGATTAAATAATATTATGCAAACCTATTGAATTATTGCACTGAATTATAAGCTTAATTCCTCTAATATTACAAATTATATCTATTCCGCTATCGTTTGGTCCCCTACAAGAAAAAAAACAAATGAGTATTGTGTCATCATTATTAACAACTAATGCTGCAGACATTTATTAAGGTAGTCACTACCCATAGCATTACGGCAATGACGTAGAGATCATACTACCTTTTGCCGTTATATGGTATATAGTAGCAGAATAGTATGTCATATATGCTGTGAGTGGTGAGTGGTGCTGTATGCTGTGAATCGGTCAATTTATAGATAATATTAAAATTTTATCTCACTAATTGTTATGTCATGGCTTATCTGAGTATCTGCTATCATACAATTTACTGCGATCACATAACAATTCATTGTTCAAGTTTTCTTATAACTTTAAAGAGCATATTAAGAGAACTTCGGCAAATATAATTTTATTTGTATATATTTATTTGTTCAAAAGTTATTAAGGATTAGATTTTTATAAAACCATCGATTTACTATGTAGCATATGTGTTTGTAAATTGTGTAATGCAGACACCCAGGTAAGCTGTAACATATATCAATTAGTGAGATAAAATTCTAACGTTATTTCTTTATAAAGATACTTTCATTAAACATATTGCTTTTATAAAATTTAAAATGATAAATATTGCAGGAGAAATTAAAAGCGAAGTAAATTGATTTTTTTCTTATAATAATTGTCACGGCTGATGCTGAAAATTGGGGTTCTCGATTTTAAAATATAAGCCTGCTAAAATTCGTTAATTATAAATTCTAACCCTAAATCCTAATCTAACC